AGCTGTGAAGGACTATTTTAAAAATAAACCGTTTATCTTCTATTCCAGAAAAAGACAAGGCAAAGGAAGTATTTTCAGATATATAGTAACTAACATTAGACTGAAAGAGAGAATTGTTTTCAGTGTATTTGTTTCAAGCTAAGTCTGAAATTAGTTTTTCTGAAGTACTGCTGTGAAGTTCTCTTTTATATATTTTTCCAAAAACATTTTTAGGTATGCCTATATAAGATCTTGCTTTTAAATGGTCAACTCAGATTACTGTTTGGAGGAATGACTAAGCCTAGATAACACAGCAGACAGAACTTTGTGTTTATAAATCTGTACTTGCCTTTGCAAATATATTTTATGATATTTTTTTACAGTCAGGGAGCTTGAGCTCTTAAACAGGTTCCAGTCTTCATACAGGCTGTTTGGGTGAAATGGGATGTTGTTTAAGAGCCGTTTGACTATCTAAGCGTAAAAAGAAAAATCAATTACTCGTAAGCTTCTTGAATTCTACTTTGATATTCCACAGAAAATGCCTTCACTGGCTATTGTATGCAATCCATTTATGGAATCAAATGCTTCATCTGTAAACTTTTAAGTTGATATGCTGGGTATCTAAATGATTGAGGAGGGGGGAATCTTTATATTTTAATTTTCTCTGAAAATGATATCTCAATATATATCAATGGCCATAAAAAGCTTCTAGTGTTTAAGTGACGAGAGTTTTTCAAAGAGTGAAACAAAAAACTAGCTACTAAAGTATAATGCAGCTGATCTGAGCTTATTAAAAAGGCAGGCAGTATAGGTGCTGCTGCTGTAGTTTTGTTTGAGACAACTATTTCAAAGGCAGAAATCCACATCCTCAATTCCTGTTTTCATTATGTCGGAGAGAGAGAATATGCATTGAAATTGTATTACTTGCTAGCACAGGGAAGGTCTCTAGTTATCTTTGCATTTTTGATTACGGGTAGGATTTTCAAAGTGCCAAAATGATGTGGGAAAGTAAATCCTATTGAAAATCCATGGAACTTGTGCTTACAAGACATTTTGGTAATTTAAAAGCTTGGGAGGTCAGCATTGTGCCGGAACAGAAGTAAGAATACTGTCTCTTTTTTTCCCCCCTTGGAGGGTGAGGAAGGGGCTCGTAGAATGATGTCCTCAGCAGAGAATTTCTTTAGCTGAGTTTCCTAAGAAAGCAAAGGTTGTGTCAACATGCTGTACCTTTCTATCCGCTGTGAGTAAATAATGCAGATTCAATTTCAAAGACATATTAAAAACGTACAAAGCACAATTTTAGAGAAAAATGACATAGAAATGCAAGGGGATGAACTCGTTTAAGTTCTCTTTTATGTTGACTGACTACTTTAAAAGAAAAATCGAATTCTTAATTTCATTTTAATTCCGTTTTGTAATTCAGCCATGCCATGAAGTCCTTACTGGTGACTACCGTAATGATATTTGGAAATGCCCTAGAAATAGCTGTAGGAGGTGAAGTCTGTAGTACAGAACAGATAAAATTGTACTTTTTTTTTCTTCTGAAGTAGTTGCCATTTCATAAATAGCATAATACAGAGTTTCCATTAGTTATTCTTCTATCTGCTCTGCAAAGGAAAGCATTGAAATATTGAAATCCAATGAAGCATGAACCTGTTGTGTTTGCAATACATTTGCAGTAGCTAGCAAGACAATGAAGAGCCTTGAGAGAATTCCTACCTGTGCCATGTTTTTGTGATTGAATTTGGAATTGTCCACTCAGCTGGAGTGAGGCTTCAAATTGGCAGTATATCTTTTCAGTTTTCTATTTAAGTAGAAAAAAAATTAAAATTTTTAAAAATTAAAATTTTTAAATTTGGAGACTACATAGCTTAAAAAAACTTCTGTGGAAATGTGTGGATAAACAGATTATTCTGTACATTTAATCCAACTTCACTGTATTTAGTAGAACAGCTACAATTTGTGTCAGTCAAGAATGTGGCTTAATATTTTTTGACATATATATTTGCCTGTCAGTCTGGGTAAGGTTTGGTTATTCATTGTATCGTTAATTCTTTATATCTGCATCTCTGTTTCTTTGGTAAACTAAAACAATATTCTCTGTTGTTTAAAATTTCCATGGAATTTTTTTAAATTATGCCTGTTGAAAATTGGAGAAGATCAGTTCTAGATTTATTAAAAAAAGAAAAAAAAAGAAAAATAAAAAGAAATTACCTGCTAGCAATCTTTCAACAAACACTGAAAGTTTTCTCTAGAATGCTGCAAGAGACCAAGATCAGTTTTCAGTCTCATATTCTCTAGGTAAAACCAACAGTATTGGCAGAACTGTTTCCAGAAGATAAATAGCACTGGTACCACCAATACTCATTCCTTAGTCAGCAAGTTGACTACTAAATGTGATGTCATGAGTACTTAAGTGAGATTTTCTCCAAAGAATTTTAATAGTTCTAACATTTAGAAAAAAATGCACCATTGAATTAGATGTGAAATTTTTGACAGTTTGTTTTACTTAGATTGCTTTCTGCTATAAGCAGTATAAAAACTTAGCTGTGTATGTCATAGCTGATGAACAGTGTAACTTTAAAGGACTAGTCCAGTATCAGCCAACAGGTGTAGCTAGAAGAAGGAAGGAGAAACAGGAATACTGGAAAATATGTACATCGTTTATAGATTAAGTGCAGATATCTGTACCAGGTGGAGATAAAAGAGGTTCAAGGATCTTCCCACCACATGAAAATACACGCATCCCCTCTTTCCTTTTGCATTGTAGTGCAGAGGCAAGAAAAAAATATAGTGTTAACAGAATAAAGGTGTGCCAGCCTTCTGATTCCTTGTAAGAGTCGCAGACTGGGTAACATTATCTCAGTTGTAGTTATTTTAAGGCAACTAATCAAGCAAGCAGACATCATAAAGTGTTTCACCTCCTACTTGTAAATTCAGCAGTCATGTGGTATGTCTGGGTGGAGGGCAAACAGGATGTGCTTTAACTTTTCTGCTTCAAATCAGTCAGTATATGGTATTTTTGAGTGCAAGACAAAAGGAAAATAATCACAAATAGACGTTCATGCTACATGAGAGCTGATTACGCTGATATGTCTCAGACAGGTATTTGAGGAGAAGCCCTTGTCTGAATATGCACATCATTAATTTTATGGGGATATCTTCATTTTATTAAGCAAGCTTCAGGTTGTCTTGTGTGCTATTCTATATTCTGCTTCTAGAGGATTGCGGGTGTGCTACAAACAAAAGTTTTTGAACCACTTGTCTTACCAAAAAGAAAAGAAACTGTTGGCAAAGTCCCAGACTTAATTTTGAGAAAATCTGTCAACGCTTTTGGTTTCTTTGATGCCAAGTCAGTTCTTTATTGCAGCTTTCTGAAGACATACTGATATAATGTTATCTATCTTATTATAAGAAAATGTAAACACTCAGTATTTTTACTAGATTCAGTATTTTTACTAGATTCGTAGCTATTCTTTTCCTGTAAGAATGACATTACAGTTGATTAAATTATGAATAGCTTTCTTGAATTGAATAATATCATCCGTACCTGCAGTACAGGTTTTATGGGAAATTCTTGTAACGGATCCCTTTATAATGGTGTTAATATAGCACAGTGCTGAAATATTAAGATACAGATGCATGTCTCCGGACAAATTTTCCAAGTCTTTTAAAAATTAGTTGAAAATATACCGGACCATAACAAACAAGATCCTTATTTAAATACCTGTATCTTGAACAGTAACTGCTGAGTTTTGACTACTAGTTTTGCCAAACTCTCCAGTGTTAGAGAAACATTCTGGCAATGTATGTCTTAGTTGTGTGATTGTCCTATTTCTAGGCCTTTTGACAAATATACTGAAGAGATTTTCGGTGCATACAAAAGAGTTCAAAAATTGGGGTTTTGTAATCGTTCTTAAGACCTGCTATCCTTGCACTGAGTTGGTTTTGTCAGCCAGTAGGTTTCCTTAGTCATTGACAATTATATGTTTTCTTTCCTGGCTGGTGAGCACTAACCAGAGAAATAGCTGTCTTCACTGGAAAATATCCTTTTAGAGCAAATGAGCAAACCAGAAGTCTTATCTGGAACCTTGGGTTTTGTTAAAATGTGATGCATTGTCTTATATTCTCATTTATGATCATTATTTCATCATCATTGATCATCATTATTAGTTTCATCATATGAAAATAACCTTGAATCATCAGTTCTGCAGACATGTTTGTGTAATTTGTAAAAACTCTAATTTAAAAGAATGGTTAGTGGCTATTGAGCTTTGAAAGAAAGTTCTATCTAAAATATCTGTGTATTCTACTTTGGTTAGTTGATACAGAACAGATGAATTCTTACCTGTAAGTAAATCACATAGCTGTACAGTGCTGCTGGTTTGCTGCTTGCCTTCAGAGTTTAAGTTCTTCAAGACAGGAATTTTCTCTCTCTGTCCTTCTGTCAATACAGTAGCTAATTCAATGGTTCTAGTAATGTATGAAATGCAAAGATGTACTGTAATGTAGTATCATAGTTTTAAAAAAAAAAAAAAGGAGATAAATGAAAAATACTCCCATACAAAAAAAACCTAGCAGGACTGTATAGTTATTTTTAAGTTTCTTATCCCTTAAAATGTTTCTCTGTTTATTTTTAAGCAAGCAATTGAATTTCATGCATCTTTTTTTATAACAAGTTATGTCTGAGTAAACCTGAGCACATGCTAATGGTGTAGTGATGTATGAAAAGGATTTTAGTACATTAAAAGGAACACATTTTACTAATTGCCAGCTACTAAGAATTCAAGGACCTTCAACTTTGTTCTAGTGGGATAAATTGTTAGATACAGTTCATACAGAATTTTAGTCTAAAACTATGATTTTAAATGACGCTTTAAAAAAGTGGAGTGGGGAGTTAGGTAGTCTCTTTGGACTTGAAGGTACTGTTTAGCTGATATATTTGAAATGTTACATACAAATTGCGAAGTTTATTACTAAAATAAACCACTTGACTCATCCTGGTATTTATTTTACCACAGGTGAGGCTAATGATAAAGATGTCCAGGTGGTGGAACTTCCCATTGTTGACAGTTTACACCCACGGCCCCCTTACTTACCGTTGGCTATCCCCGAAGACCTGGCTGATCGGCTAATTCGTGTCCACGGGGATCCTGCAGTGTGGTGGGTCTCCCAGTTTGTCAAATACTTGATTCGTCCACAGCCATGGTTAGAAAAAGAAATAGAGGAAGCCACGAGAAAACTTGGTTTTAAACATCCAGTGATTGGGTAGGTATTTAATTTTTATTTTTAAATGCTTGTGCTTTAATATGTGTGTGTATGGTGTTTCCTTTTATGAGAAACTGTTCTATGATAGTACTCCAAGAACCTCAAGCATTTCGCGGGGATGGAGGGTGCTTTCTAAATGAAGTTTTTATTTTTTAATTGTGCATAACGCAAGTTGATCACAAGTACTTCTTTAAAGCATGCATGTGTACATATAGCTATGCAGAGATATATAAATGGAGGCTCAATGGAAGGTTTGTTTAAGTTTCATTCCATATCTAAAAATGTAATACAGAATTTCAGTGTATAATTTCTTTACAATTTATATGCTAGAAACTTTTATGTCTGTATATTCTTTTCAAGTGTCTATAGCCTTTATATTTGAGGAAAAAATGCTAAGCCTACATTTTACATACCAGAATCCATATCCAATGTTATTGTTGGCCACACCTGAACGTGGTATGTGCCTTGTCCTCCCCTGCTGATGGTTTCACTATTGTTGTTTCTTAGTGTATAGTAGCAGCAGCCAAGGATTGGAAAGGACTGTATTTAGAGTTATGGGGAGAAGGAAAGCACCTATGGGCAATGAAGAGCAGCTTGTGGAAGAAAGGTGTAACATGAAAAATGTTTGCTGCTGCCTGCACATGTTGCTTCCTTTCATCACAAATTTCCTTTAGTCCTTAGTGTGCCTTGTTCAAGGAGTACGTAGTAGCTCTGTGCAAATCTTAGCTCTTTTACTGGCTTCTGACCATAGACCCCCTAGGCCACTTCACTACTGGCAGGTTTGAAGACTTGCTAGGTTTCAAGCATCTAGGGGAAGATATGTCTTTACCACCGTCATTCAAATCATGCCTTCTAAGTGGTGCCCCAATATACCCATGATGAGAATACTCTTATTTTGCTTTTGAACTATATTGAAAAAGCATTATCTAGCCATGCCAATTACATAGCCTCCTGCCTAGAAGGAGTACCCTATATGCTATAATTAAATCTCCTTATTCTTTTCTTGGTTACCCTTTGCTTTCCTTGCAAGATAATTATATGATTACATTGTTTTCAAGAACAGACTAACAGCTAATTTCATATCATTAAAAATAGTTGCACGTGAGTTTCAGATTTTCCAGTTAATAATTCCTTAAGTTGGTATATCCAGGTGGATGTCACTGATTTCTAATCCTTCTTTTTTACCTGAGCGTTCAATTTAATATGCGTTCTGGAAGTGCAGGCATGAAGTTTAAATTTAAAATTTTGGTTGCTAACATATCTGTCATGTTTATAAATTGATTTCTTAGCTTCTGCTGTTTTTCAGTGTTCACGTCCGAAGGACAGACAAAGTAGGAACAGAAGCAGCATTTCATCCCATTGAAGAATATATGGTACACGTTGAAGAACGATTTGAACTTCTTGCCCGCAGAATGCATGTTGACAAAAAAAGAGTGTATTTGGCTACAGATGACCCTTCACTGTTGCAAGAGGCAAAATCCAAGTAAGATGAGTTACGTTTATGTTGCAGTTAGTTCCTTCTGGTTAGGTTTACAATCTCTCACTGTTGTGGGTGTTAATCTTAGTGTAGTTATTTTTGTTATCTTTCACTTATATAAGATTGCATTTCAGCTTCCAGGGATTTTGGTTTTCTCTTGGCTGACTTTTTTTCCAGGTGTGCTTTCCTAAACTTAAAGCTAAAACTTTAAGAAGAGTTGAGTCTTTGACTATTTAAAAATAAACTAATGCTTTAAAAAGGAAGGAAAAATAATTATAACAAATCCAACTAACTTGTTATAGAACATGCAAATTAAAAAGAAACTATTTAGGAATATTTTTAAAACTGCTTAAAGTAGTAAGAAGTTTTACCTGTCCAAATCATACCTCTTTGTAATAATTTCTCTGGCAAGTATTCACAAACCGTTTGAAAAAACTTCTGATGACTCTTTCAGAAAGACTTCTGTATTGACTACTTAGGCCATTTTTTCACCCTACCAGTGGAATAAATGTAGAGTTTGTCCTTAAATGTATCTGGGATTATCAGTCTGTAACATTGTCTTTAACCCTCTTTTGATCTTTGTTGTCTTCTAGCACTGCAGCATGTGGCAGTGAGAACTTAATCCTAGCTGCAGCTAAACTAAAAAATCGTATAACTGTTCAAACCTGGAAATGTGCAGTATGCATCCATTTACTCCAAACATGACCAGTATTTTCTTGTACAAACTCATTAAGTCACGTGTTTAGCAAAGGGTCACTGAGATAGCAAAACCTGGAAGAATAATGTTTCTTATTTACCTGTATCCTTCTTAGATTATAATTGGTGTCACAGATGTAACAAATGTCACAAATGCTTATTGCCTTCACTGTCGAAACTAGTGAAAGTACTTCAGATATATTGAAGTTAAACATAAGTGTTACTGAGTACAAGCTAGCATGTTTTTCTTTGGAGTAGCATTTATTTATCTATCTATATTTCCAAAATTTTATCTCCCTTGAGCAAAAGAATATTTTTTCCTTTAGGCAAGGAAATTAAGACTTTTTAAAATCAAGGTTACTCAAAAATGGCAAATTTCAAGCTGTTTTACTCTTAGTAGACACGCTTGGAAAAGCATCTAAGATAACATACTGGATTACAGAATTTCTTTGACATATGCAAGGTAAGCAAAAAGTCTTATTTTGTAGTAGAGGAATTTTATTACAGCTTTGTGAATCTATGTAGTTCAATTTTGCTATTCTATTTTTCTTTCATATCTGTAAAGGCCTGCTGTTTAAAATTACGTAGTTTTTGAAAAAACTAAACCAACATATACAACTCCAGATGATGGCAATGTAATCCTTCCTTTTTTGTATGTGTAGAGACAAGAACAGTAGCAGAAAAAGTTATGATAACATACCATTAAAAGTGCAAATCTGAGCATTGAAAAGACAGGTAATACCAAATTGGGGTGATAAAATTTAATTCATTGACATTGTCCTAAATAATTTTATTTACTGCTTTAGCATAATAGAATTTGATATTGTTTCAACAATCTCAGGAACGTATTTTTTCTTTATTTGTGTTCAAATCTGAAACCTTAGCATTGTATTCTTCAACTTTGTCAATAACCAGATACACTAGGTGTATAAACACAGGGACCCAATTCTTCTAAGTCCTCTGTAGCAACGCAATTGCTACTGAATTTTATCAAGCGTTACAGTTTCTGAGGCAGTTAAAGGTGTATTCCAAATCACAATTTTATTTATATTTATTTGTGAAAATATGTAGCCCATTAATATAGCATTTCCTTTCTACATTTTTTAATAAAAGTCTAGAGTCTGTTAGTCGTGAAGTTTTTTTGATATGTTGTTCCTAAGTTTTTAGTGTGTCGTAGTTTACAGTGAAACACTTTTTCTAAGTTGCTTGCATGCAACTGTCAACTTGCAGTGGAGTAGAAGGCATCTGAGGCTTCCTGTGATCTCCTAAAAGGCGAGAGACACTTTGATGTTTCAGTATCTAAGGACATCTGTGATGAGACTTTAGGAATGAGGCATCTTTTCTTCCTCTTCTTGTAAAGAGAACTGCAAATTACGCTTTGCCAAAAACGTTTAAGCTTCTAGTTATACTGCACTGTCAAACTTTAATAGAAACAATTGTTGCACTATACTGCAATGGCTTTTATTGCATTCATTAATGGCTGCAGTAGTATTAGTAGCTACTAGATATTAATCTCCCTTCGTACAAGTATGCGTGGCTGTGAAACAATGCTGGCATTTGAATAATGATCATGAAGTTTTAGAAGTAAACTAACATAAAGCTGAATATAGATGTATCATTTTAATTAAGAGAAGTGTATCAAAACTACTTACAGCCATGGAAATAATAATATTTTGATTTAAGTTTCAGAAACTTCCTTTGCTGTCACAGAGGCCTATCAACTGCAAGTACGGTATTAAAGACAGCGGAGTCCGTAGTATCAGTTTGTAGGAGTGCGAGTGATTCCCTTCCATCCCCCACTTTTCACCCCCCCAAAAAACCAAAAAGAACTATGGTATGTTTTCAGAATTAGGATAATATAGAACAATGTGATTAGACAGGAGGAGGGTTGAGAGTTCAATAGCTATAATGGTTATGGGATAAAGCGCTTGGCAACTTTTGGTAAGCCAGAGGACACATTACCTGTTAGGAACGCTATAAACTGTTTTTTCGTTGTGCTTGAAGCAGTCATTAAATCATCCAGTGTTTTGAATTTTCTAGTTTACATGTTTTTAGTTTATGATGTTATTGACAACGTCTTCCCTCTCAAGATAGAACCATTCAAAATAATGCAGCTGGGCACGCACATGGATTCTTAAGGAAGCCTATTTAATACCTGTCTGTTTTATATAAGAATCTTTTTAGATCTCTTTATCTACTATATAAGCATTAAAATTCAATAAACTAAAATCCTCCCTTCAGGCTGTTCACCTGTAATGTCATCTATGCTTTGCTTTTTCAGTTTATACAGTTATTCCCTCCCTCATGAGTTTCATTTTTTCCCAATGCTTTGAAGGCTTTTTCACTGTATTTCATTGTTGTTCCTTTACTTTCACAATAGCAAGTTAGACATCTTTTCTCCTTATGTAATAGATGTAGCTTTTTGGCTTGTGTGTGTGGTCGGGGAAAGTAGTGATAGTCTTGCCTAATCTTTAGGATCCAGGAGTGGTTCAAAGTTATTGGGCCTGTTGAGCAGCTTATGCATTGTTGGAGCAAGACCTGAACAAACATGTTATTTTCTGCTCCGTTTGTACGTGCATTTGCATATATGCATGCTCACGATCTGATTTCTGAGGGAAGAAAACTTGCATTGCTTATTCTGGATAGGTCCCCAATCCTCTTAAGTTGAGCATAGGGACCTGGGGCTTGCCTTGGTTTGCACTGCTGCCCAGTTTAGCTATAATGTGTTAAAATAGTCAGCTGATGGGCCTCTGAAACCAACTGAAACTTGAAATAGTCTTGTTTTGGTTTCTATCTTTATCTGAGACTGGTGATTAAGGAAGGAAACATTACTAAAGAACAATTCCCCCCCCCCCCCCCTTTCTCTGGTTTCCTTTCTTCCCCCTCCCTTTCCTAGAGAAATATCTTGCCTGGCTTTCAACACAGTTTTCAAGTATCTATTAGGGAGCTAAACAAGAATTGGATATTATTTTTAGATGACTGAAAAAAAAAAACATTATTATACCAGTTTCCATTCTTTTTATTCTGTTTTATTCTATTTTATCTTTGCAGTCTGGTCCTTTCCTGTTGTTAGAAAAGAGGATGTGTGGGCAATTTCTTTAGAAAGATGGAAGGGACCCTACAGAATATGGTATTTAGATGGTTCTATTAGTAAGAATATGAACTCTTATTTTTTACTCATTTATCGCAGCATTCAGGTATCCTAGTAATAGACCTCCACAAGGTCTATTGAAAGAAAAAAAAAAAAAACCTTACAAGGTAAGTATTACAGTAATCATATAAATACAGACAGAAAAGGGAATAAAAGGAAGCAATAGCTAACCATGGAGCTTTAGCAGTTTAGTTTCTCTTATTTTTCTGTAGTCATCATGATAAAGGATAGTTTTAAATAGAATCTAAAGCACTGTACTGAGTGGAAAGGAGAAGTAAACCTCACCTGATGCAGGAAGTCCCTGGGCCACGTATGGTAGAGCTTGGAAGAAGTATAGGCTTGGCCTATTATTGTATTTTTCTTTATGCATCTCTTTGTAGCCAGTGTTGGAGACAAGATATTGGAATGGAAGTCTCTTTGCTCTCACTGAATATGGCTGCCGTTATACTCATGTTTAACGGAAACCTCCTTTCCCCAGCATGAATATAATATTGGGGGAGGAGAGGGAAGGGAGATTAAAGTGCTTGTTTAAAAACATAATCAAGTGAGTATGTAAGTGCTCAGCTGGGATCACTGAGGTGAAGAACTGATCATTTCTAAAACTGTCAGATGGTTTAAAATCTACTTTATGAAATGGAAGTTAAGACCAGATTGAAAAGTATCTTGAAGAGTGTTTTCTGAATAAGTGGAGGAAGGAGAAGTTTCCAAATGCATGAATAGATAATTCCGGGGTTTAGTGAACCTCAAATTTGAAAGAAATTGAAAGAAATGATGGAGTGCTTTTAAAAAATAATTTTAAAATTATTTTCACTGGTATAGGGAGTGCTCTGGGATTCGTGGAAACATTACTCATAATTCTCAAATTTTCCTATGAAAATGAATATATTTTGAATTCTTTGATGCTACACCTACCTACTTTATGGGAAGAATAGCTTTGTGCATCTTGTTTCTTATGGTGTTGTCAGGAATGTGATATTGGGTGAGCTTTGGTACTAGATCCAATATTAGACTTTTTTGTCCTTCATTTCTGAAGGTATTGGAGAGACCTTTTACTACTAGGAAATCAAATGCTTCAAGAAAGAATATTTTATCTCTACTTGGCACGTGGATTCTGCTTTAGAAATCTGAAGGAAGTGATTAATTCTAACAATTTTCCTGACGCCAAGAACTTTCTGAGGAGCATACTGTATTCACTGTCCTTAGCAATGGCATCTTCTACTACATATTTGTCACGTTGGCTACCTCAGTGTAGGTCTACTAAAAGAGGACCCGTTGCCTATCATTGTACCTCAGCTAGTGTTTACAGTGGAATATGACAAACTTCCATTGTAGTCTATGCTACTTTTTTTTTTTTTTAAAAGAAAAAAGCATACTAATATGGTTCGCACAACAGAAACAGAAATGGAAGGTATGAAAAATATTGTATTGTCATGTGTTGTATTTTGAGAACTGATTAAATATTGACAGAAAACGTTAGCCACAAAGAGAAGATAAGAAAGAAAATGATCATTGTGATAGATTTCATACTAGAGAAAAATTTTCTTGATCTGCACCACTATAACTTCTCAGAAAAGGTATTATCAGTTATTCTTAATGAATAATATTGTTACCTTCTCCGTGTGTCTGTGTGTGGGGGGGTGTTCTTTTATTTTATTTTTTTTCCCTGTGGCTTGAACTTCCCCTGACGTTCATGATCAGATGCACCCTTTAAATTTGTCTTGTTACCTCTGGGAAATTTAGCACAGATGTATTCATTTTTGTGTTAGAGCAGATATTTCTCTCAGGAACATGAAATTCTAATAAAATCACGCTGAAGATAAATTCTAATTCTTTCTCGTGTCGTTTAATCCCAGATGTGAGGTTTTGCATAAAGCTTTTTGATTTGCTTTTGAAATGAATTTTCCTGATGTGGTAGTCATGGCTGGTTAATGTCAGATGGAAAAGCCTACTCTATTTGCCTGTTTGACTTCTAAAGACAATTTTTCCAGTTACATTAACATGGAATAAATTAGGCATATTCTTACAAGAGGTTGCCGTACTTATAGGTCTGTCCCATGTACATAATATGCTCGTACTAGCTTGTTGTATACAAGCATGTGCTAACTTCAGTATCTTTCCAAGAACTCTGAATGCAAACTTCCTTATTTTGAAAGATGTTCGGTACAGGGCTACTGGGCTTTGAAAAATCTTGTTAGCTCTACAGTGATAGTTGTTACTTCAGCATTAAGACCTGCCCTGTATTATGATTTTTTCTTTTTTTAGACACTAAGAATGATTAATTCATACAAATGTAATAATAACTCCATTACTATGCTATGCATATATTGCTTTATAATTGCTACAAAGTTATAAATTTGCCGAATACATCTTATTTAAATTATTAAATAATTAGCCTTGTAGTTAAAATTTTGTGACTGGCAGTTTAGTCACACTCATTATACTTCATGAATAAACTGTAATTAACGTGTAATAGCAATGTAATTATAATTGTTGTTATGGCTAACTGAAATTTTTCATGTAAAGCTTATTTTTGCTGGGGACTGAATGAAATTTTTGTAGTAAATTCGCACTACTTTTTCCAGACTATTTCAGTCAGTTCCCCAGTAAAGGGGAAAAAATGTTGAGAGAACAGTGTTTTTTAACATTTAAAAAAAACTTTCTGCTTTCAAAACCGTTGTTGCATTTTAGAAACTGTCAATTTTATTTTAACGTAAACCTCAAAGTTTTGGATTTTGATTTAAAATACTTCAATTTGTTTATAATGTACTAAAAAAATTTTTGCATGAAGTTTTACATTTCTTTTATTTCCTTTTGACTAATAAACTGAAAAATCTGTTCTCCACACAGCATTAATAACTGTAAAGGGCAACCAATTTCTTTTCTTTTATTTCTTTAATTTAATAGGTCCCTCTATGGGCTACTGATTTCTTTGTGCAATGTCATAATTGGTATCTAATTGAAAATATGAGAATAAAGAAAAATGAAGCCTAGTAAAGATGCAGTCCCACATTCTTTTTAGCAGTAGAGGAAGCCAAAGTATTTGAGTATCTTTTGTTTAAAATCAGTAGCATTAGCAGGATGTGGTAATGGTATCTTACAGTGTAAGATCTCAGACGGACTTAAGGTGTTGTTCGCTTCTCTGGATAAAGATGCAGCATGTATGGAGGCAGCAGTAGCATTATGGAGTGTTCAGCAAAATTATAGTGTATACCCTGTAAAGGAGAGAATCACTTAAAACAAACTAACAGACTTACTTTGCAGCAAAGATTGTTTCCTCTTAAAAATAAGAAAATAAGACCTTGCTGTTAACAGTCTATTGTATTTTCACAGGTATCCAAATTATGAATTTATCAGTGATAACTCCATATCTTGGTCAGCAGGACTTCATAATCGATATACTGAAAACTCCCTAAGAGGTGTTATTCTGGATATCCATTTTTTGTCTCAAGCAGACTTCCTGGTCTGTACATTTTCTTCACAGGTAAATTGCAATATACATACATTATAGAGTATAAATCTCAGTTCTTCTAAATCTCAGTGGTGGTCATGCTCCTACTGTCTTATTCTTGGTGCTCTGTCATGACAATTTTGTGGAAGAATTAAAGAGTCTGTATGCAACGTGAGCGCTTATATGACACTCGGCACTGGTTGATTACTTAGCTTAGGTAATTAGCTTAGTTAAGGCACTTAAGAAAGTAAAAATAATTTTGAATGTGTTTAACACTTCTTAATTTGTATGAAGTTAATATATAACTTGCATCCATCTATTGCTATACGTTGTTGCACTCTACTACAGCTTAAACATGTCTGCTGTTGCCTCAGTTGATTACAGGAAATGTAATGGAAAAGAGTAAAGAAAGGAGACATTCAGTTTCTCCTCAATTACTTTTCTAGCAATCCAGTGGCAGCACAGTAAATGCAAATTCTAACCACTGTAATCCACAGAGACTTCTTGTTGCGGATAATTATATGCTATAAGCTTCTTTTCTTGAGTGGCTTGCTGAAGTTTGCTGGAGCCCAGTGGAAGACTGGATCATGTAATTGGCATTTTCTTCTCTGTTACATCATACTTCTGCATTTGATTTCATGTATCACAAAAAGCTGTTTAATGCAGGATTAAAAAAAATATTGGAAAAGCAGCATTTTCTGACTCATATGATAATCCACCGAATTCAGGTTTGTCAGAAGATGACTGAAATCAAACAAAGAATGAAGACTTTTTAGCCTACTGTTGTCACATATGCTCTTAAGTGGCATTGCTGATTAAGAAAGAGCTTAATTACAGACGGTGGCTTTGTGGTCATCTATAATTGCACTATTAATTATATATGACCGCAAGGCACTGCCTGTAATCGAATTCTTTCCTAACCAGCAGTGTCACTTAAGAGCATATGTGGCAATAGTCAAAATATATGCCTAAAACTGAAAGTAAAAGTCACTTCAAAAAGAAGTATTCTCTACAAATGTGGATTGGCTTCCACACTTTAATGACAATTAGATAATAAACATGATATTAATACTAATATGTGGCTGATACAGTAACATATTGACTTTGACAGACAGAATTCTTAATCACGTTACTGTGGCAAGAAGACAGCAATAACAGGAAAAAGTATAGAAAAGCCTCTTGCATCTGAATTATGTTTGTGGGCACATTTTTCACCATCCAGCAAATTCTATGAAGAAAATACCTTTTTATAGCATATTTAGCAGGTAATTAATATAAGCTACTTCAGACCATGACATGAAAAACTCCAAAGTACGAGTCCTCACTGAGAAAAGTGGGTGAGGAGCGTTCCACATTTATATGTTTGATCCAGCTGAAGTACATTCACTGAATGTATGTCACAGTGAAAGAGGTGATCATCAGCCAAGACCTAGGGCCACTTATGTGCCATACACATATCGGTGTATAGACAGTTCCTGTCTTGAATGAAGAGTTATGCACTTGTGGGTAAAAACTTTTCTTAGTAAGAAATCTATGACAGTCTGTGCTATACTGTAGTTAAATATCTCTGTTTAAAAAATGGTGAATTTTTCCTTTCAATGAAACAGTGGGTACAAACAAACGTAGATGAAACCTTTATATTTAAATATAGATACAAATGGTTTGCATGGAGTATAAGATACTGTACAGTGGAACTGACACCTTCCGCTTCTATTCTAAGTGTTGAACTAATTTCAAAAGAAGACTATATAGTGGCATAGGTATGGTGATAGGGGTTGATGGGACATCTGGAGTTCCTCTGGTACGATCCCATGTTCAAAGTAGGGCCAGCTTGAGAAAATTGTTCTTCGTGTTCATTTGTAAAGGAATATTTATCTGATATTGAATAGTACATCTTCAGCTATGAAAGACTATGATACTGCTGCTAAAGTACTGTAATAAAAGACAGTAAAAGACAGAACCATTGCCATTTTGTCCTATGCAAATCTGTCAAATATCTCTGTCTTTCCTGAGATGCTGCTTGATAAGATTAGACACTTAGACTTTTTCTTCAGTATTGATGCTTTTGTATTCCACTGTAGTGTAGCTTTACGTTTACAAGTAGGATGTTGAGATTCTTGCTGCAGAACCAGTGGGTTTTCTTAATTTAGACCGGAAGAGCTTTATTGCTTTTGGGTCTTTTAATCTGTGTAATCTAATAAACTCAATTCAGTGTTGTATAGGACTGCGATCATAGGGAGCAGTGTGCGTTCCATACACAAGTATAGTAGCAGGTACGTTTCCTCTACGAGCCAGGAAGTTTTACTGGCTATTAGGCTCCTTTGCACTTCTTCAAACAACGTAGTTTGCACTGCCCCTTTCTGAAGGTTCTGCCTAAACTTAATGAAATGGTCCTCCACAAAATGCAATTGTCCTGGGATTGCAGACCAATACTGTAGTCCATAGATTTTTAGAAAAATGTTTAATAAACTGTTTATTCTGTCCAGCTTCTAATGAAGTCATGTGAGAAATCAGCCGAGATGCTGAAAAATCAGAATGGCTGCCTTGCTGTAACTAACAGCTCCGTGGGTTATGTTGACTCTGCTGTTCTGAAGCTTACTGACATAAGATTAACAGCTTAGTGTGTATGCCTGCATAATTAGCAGAACATATCCTATGAGGAGTCATTTTTATTCTTTGGCAGCAGATGTTTTAAGTGGTTAGGTGTGCCTTCTGTAAAATGATGAACGCAGAACTTGATCTCAAGAACAGTGACAAAATAATGCAGTTATCTATTCATGCCTTTAAGAACTTAATTCTTTCTTTGTATCATTATGGCTTAATGGTCATTCTTTTAGTTTTATTCCATTTTCCTTGGGTGCCTCTTTAAATACATCTGCTATAGTAAAAAAGGCTGGGAATTTAAGAGATTTAGACATTAAGAATGGGAATGTTAAGTATTAGTAAGTTTTACTTACAAAATACTTGATTTTTAACAAGTAATATGCAGTGCGGTTTTTGAAAGTACATAACTTAAGTAACACCTTTTCCTATTGTGCATGTTTGGAGTGTCCACTCTGTAATTGTATTGCCTTTCATATAAAACAATACTCTGAATAATTTCTTGAATAGAATGTTACTTTGCTGTAGCTATGATGTTTTTAAAAAGGGACAAGATCTGAAGGTAAAGGTAATATCTTTTACTGGACCAACTACTTGGAAAAATTGTGTAAGATTTTGGGCATGCAAACTTTTCTTCAGGTTTCTTTCTCCAGCTGGAATCTTCAGATCTTCAAGAGGCACAGAGGAAAAACTGGAGAATCAGAAGGGATGATTTTTAGTGAATAAGATTATAAATTGTAATTTTGCTTCAAAATCTTAAAATCTCAAGCCTTAGGAAAAAGTTTTTGGTGCCCCATCAATGCAGGGGTTGGCTCTGTGAATCAGATATTTGAAAAAACCCAAATCTGGCATAATCGACTTTATCAGTGACCACTGACTGAGTCCATGATATCAGTGTTACCGTAACAGTCACCTTCATCAGGTGGCATCAGCTTAGCTTCTTGGCATTCTGTTTTTTTGCTAGAGAAGAAACTGGAAGAGCAGTTGAGCTGAAGAGGACTGCTGTTACTGAAGCACGTGCTACAGTCTGCTCTTTCAGCACCAGAAATTCAGACTCGGTTTTGGCCCCAGGTCCTGCTCTTCCCTCCCTTCTTCTCCCCCCACCCCTCCCACCACACATCAGTTTTTAACTCTGTAACCTTAGGATGCATAGTATCCTTGAGCTTTGTTCTCATTCTGTGTCTCCCTGTATTTGACAATAGAGATATTTGCTGAATGACATGTTTGGCTTTCCAGAACTGCAGAGAATTATTCTAAAATCTAGGAAAACCTGTATTAGATGGGCTGTAACTCTCAGTAGCTGAGACTGAATTTGATCTAGCCATCTACTTCATTTATTCTGGCCAATTTCTTGTGCTTAAGTAGTGCAAACTCCCTCAAAAATCATTTAGCAAGAATTTTGCTACTCATGAACCAATGCAGAGCTCCAGTGTTTTCTTTTGTAACGCTTTTCTGAGATCTGTTATAAGCCTTTGTTTCCACTGTTAGGAGTCTTTTCTCTTTTGCGGCTTTAAATCTTGATCTGGTCTTCTAACATTTGAACTACTGTCAGTGTGCGAGGCTATATTATCATCAGTGGAATAGTTTGATAGTTACTTTAGCTTGAAGATGAGCAAAATTCAGGCTATTAATGACCACCCTTTGCCCAACCTGTATGAAGAAAAAGTAAGGATGAAAATGTAGTCTAACTTATTCCCAATGTGATTTTGGACTTTCACGTTAATCAGTTGTATGCTGACTTTTTTTTTCCAGATTCTTTTCCTTAGGAAACGGAGTTAAAATCTTCATTACAGGGGTGTTAAGAGAAAATGATAGTGTGTGTGAACAGGATCAGACCCTTTAGGAAGTCTCCTATACTGATTCTCAGTTATGGTACTGAAACTAAATGAATAGTTTCAGTTATGGTACTGAAACTAAATGAATACTGATAAGAGCTGAAGAATAGGGATTTCATCAAAATACTGCTAATAAAATAAGTAGGCCTACCAAGTGGTGTGGACTCAGAGGAACAACCTACCTTGGCACTGTGTTTCAGCAATATTGCGGTAATTGAGATGTATAGAAAGGCCATGTGGTGGTTGCACACACAAATCATCTCTCTGAAGCAGAATAAAGATTGTATGTTAAAACAAGAGACTTTCTGTCTCTTCAGTCTTCATTTAGATGAAATCATAGCTCCCTCTGCCATATTGATTTGAGATGATCTTTACCTCTTCTGATTATGAGTGCCAAAGCCTTGTTCTATTGCTAAGAAAACCCCATCTCCCACTTCCATGGACATCATGGTTAATTTTCATGGATTAGAAGCTGTCAACATGGAGTATGTAGAACCTGAAGAATGAAGATATCCTTGAGAAATGTGCTTTAGTGTTTGATGTTGCTAATGAAGAAATCTGCTGTATTGTTGTTTGCTGTAGCTCTTTCAAGAGCTTTATATATTTGTTTATGCAGAATTAGAGAGAGAGAGAGAGAGATAGTAATTCATACTGGAAGTCAGAAAGATCACAGTGGCCAAAGCGGACACCTTACTGGGAAGAGCTTTCTAGCTAACTTGTTGAAAGAAGCTTTATTTAATGTAACTGCAGCCTTTGTGTTTCTGGCAACTCTGAGGATTCTGCTAGTGAGAATTTTTTTTTCAGTCCAAAGAAAAGTCCCTTCATAAAATGTAATCTGGAAGCGTGGAGGTGAACAATACCACTTAAATGGATCTTTCTGCTTACTAACGTTGTTACTGTCTTGTTGGAATTCGGTTTCATTCAGTTGTCTTCCACACTGCCAACAGTTGTATTTTATCACTGGTCTAATAGTAATAGTATTCTAAAGGCCTGTGCTCCTGGAGCGTGAAAAATTGAGCTCCTTAAAAAAAAAAGAAAAGAAAAGAAAAAAAATTTCTATTGCAGAGAAATCTTTCAAAAACAAGAAGTAAAATAAACGTTACTTTTACATTTGATTGGCTACAAAACTTTCTTTTTAAAAAGGCAAGACTGTTAGTGCTCATATGGGTATTTTCAATTTTTCTTGAGAAGCAGACAATTATTTATTTGCCAAATTTGATCTCAAGAGTCCTAATAAAAACTGTATATTTCTGATTAGCAAATATAAAGTATTTTCAAATACTTTACTATCACCTTTTTAAGAAACTGGACATTCCAAAACTTGATCCTTCTGTGGAATTGAGTTCTTGCACATTGGTTGTTGAGTTCTTGCCCATATTAGAGGTGCGCACAATATTTATGACGACTTTTTTGTTTTTATTTCCAAGGTGTGTCGAGTTGCCTATGAAATTATGCAGACATTGCATCCAGATGCCTCGGCGTATTTCCATTCTTTGGATGATATCTACTATTTTGGGGGACAGAACGCCCACAACCAGATTGCTATTTATGCTCACCATCCACGAACTGCTGATGAAATTCCTATGGAACCTGGAGATGTAATTGGAGTAGCTGGAAACCACTGGGATGGTTATTCAAAAGGCATCAATAGGAAATTAGGAAGAACAGGCCTGTACCCGTCCTATAAAGTTAAGGAGAAAATTGAGACAGTCAAATACCCTACATACCCAGAGGCTGACAAGTAGAACAAAAAGAGGAGACTCACAATTCCAATTGGTTCAATCCAGTCAACCTACTAACGAATGGTTTATTTGGGATTTGAATTTACATTTTAACATGTAGTTAAAATGAAGGTGTTTAGTACTGAAGCTGGATAAGAACCTGCGAACAAATGGATGGGCTATTATTTGAACTTGCTCTTAAACATTTTTTTGTTATATGCACTCTCACACATGCACACACAAAACCACATACAACAGGAAAACTGTTGTTTTATACTATTTGTCTCTTTTCAAGATTTGTCCCAATCATTAGTCTTACATGAGCTTTGGGCTCTTTTCTCTGCCATTAATTGACAATAATTCTCAGACTTAAGACACTGCCGCATTGTGTAATATGAGTGACATGAGCATATTTTGTATGTGCAAAATTTAAAACATGGTGCCTATATTTGAAAGATTTGTGACCTTTTTAGGAGAGCCATGCCTGTTTCACTAATGGGCAAGAGTTTAACAGGCGTTACCATGACCACTGAACTTGCTTCAAACAACAGATTCAAGTTTCAGACTAGATTTCTTTCTTTAAAAGTTTATTTTTAGCATTCCATTGATTACTACACATCATCATTAATAAAATAAAGGATACATCCAACAATAAAATAGTCATTGTCTGTTAGGAACTTTTGTAAAACAATGCCATAAACAACTTCTTTAGTACTGAATGTTTCTGGACATTGCCTTTGATTAAAAAAAAAAAAAAAAGTAGCTGGAGTTTCATCGCATTTTTAAACACTATGTAGTGCAACAACTGCCAGTGGTACAGTGTTGTCTCTGTTCTGCAGACAATGGGTTTCACCAGGGTGACTTCAGTGGCTCAATTTCTTATGTTTACTCTTTAGCACTATTCTTTACTGTCTCTGTTTCTCTTCTGAAAGCCTTTTTTTTTATGGGCAATATAGATAGCCATTTATCGTTCTGGCGTTGAATGTAGTTGCTTTGAAGTAAGATATTCCAGGTTATCCTATTTATAAAACTTGTCAATCAAGATGTGATTTCAGAATAGCGAGTAGATGCTGTTTCACTGCCTTAGTACTCACAGAATCTAACAATTTATCCAGAAGATAGTAGGTTCCAATAAAATCTGCACAAGGGTGAATTTTTATGCATGACATAAAACTATTAGTAATTAGTATTAGTGTTTTGAAATCTGTTACTACTCTGCTCTCTGTTGCCTTAAGAAAGGTGACAATTTAAAAACCTAATTTTAGGCTAATTTAATTTTAGGAACAAATTTGTAGATATTGGGCTTTATAGATATATGTACAAGGTATTAAGAGATTATTTCCAAATAGAGAAAAAATATTAATAGCATTGCAAAGTCTCTAGTGCAATCTGATCTGGAATAGTGAAAGTGCAGAAAATGTTCAGGCAATGGAGAAAATGCCACATGAGAAGAGATTAAAAAAGCATGGCTTGTTGACCTTAACAAAACAAAAGCTAAAATAATATTTAGATATACTTATAAATAGATAGATGACAATGTTGACATAAGAACTAATACATACAGTTGACCATGAATAACTTTTAGGCTGAATAGTACGAGGAATTCCCTGAGGGGTGTGAAGTTCCTGAGTCGTCTAATTGAAATAGCTGTTGTAAGATGGAACTTGATCAGCATATATAGGAATTAATTGAGTAATTCTCTGTGACATCATTTGGAGGACTGATCCAGCAGATCACTTCCAGTTACATGTATTTTCCTCATCTGAAAAACTCTTTTGCATGTTGCAAATGAATAACAAAATCAAAGGTGAAAACTAATGTAAAGAAAAGGAAAAAATATGTTACTGGTATCAAATAGAAATCTAAGTAAAAATGAACATAGAAACCAAATATTTTAAAAGAAAAATTGATAGAGGCAAAATAGATAAGAGTGACAGAAAAATGCTGAAGAATATGTGACTATGTGACTAAAGTGTTGAGTTTTTTGGCAGATATTTTTGGAAATGCAGAGGAAACCATTTATCTCTTATCTAAGTGATTATGATAGATTTTCCACTAACTTTCCACTAACTTAGGGTATATCAAAGGCACAACTGTAGGCTGCATAATGTTTTTTTCTTAAATTTGAGTTAAATATATAAAGCTATTTTGGTACTTTGTTTTTTAAATTAAAAAAGAGATCTTTAAAGATTAGTGTAGTGCGTTTTATCATTGAGTAAATTAATTTTTAATTATTTTGCCACAAATATTACAATATTTATTGATATTTTTAGATTTGGTAGATATATACATGTTTTGTTTTCAAAGGTCTTAACTTACAGCTTCAGACCTCCTCAGTTCCAGGTCATTTCTTTGAGAATGATGCAGAAATAATATTCATAAATTAACATATGAAAATTCCTCCGATAGACAGGTAAGTTGATGGAAAATGTCACTGAATATGATAAATAACGGAACGTCTAAGACAAGCCCAATGTCAAGAGCAGATCTTCTGATGTAGCCACCAGAGAACTGAAAACTGATGCTATAGAAGAAAGAGCCATGTAATTTAGCAATTGGACAACAAAGTAGAAAGCTGACAAAGTATTTGGCAAGGTAAACGTGCCGCCTCTTACATATTGTAAGTACCTACTTATGTTTGAGAAAATAATGTTTAAATAGTATGAAATAATAAAATTGTTATTAACAATTAAGAAACGTATTACTGTAGGTGCCTTGTCCCCCTGGGTCATATGATCCTCTAGTGCTTATAATGCAGTATTTCTCAGAAGACACTTAGCAATAGGCTTGATAGATGCACCTTTCTCTAGAGATCTGTCTCCTTTAAAAGTACCCCAATTAGTTAGCTCTTGGAATCCTGGGACCTTGGAACATAAAAAAGAATTTGTTTTATATTAAACAAAATGATATTAGAGACTTGATTCTCAAATACCATGAAATCCTGATAGTACGCAAGGATATGTGGGTAATGGACAATGAGACCCCTGAATTTTTATTGTAGCTTATAGAAAAAAGAAATAACAGAAAAAAAGTTATTTGTCAGATAGATATCTGAAAGAAAGTTGATTGTTTGAAAGTTGTTAACTCATTAAGATAGCAGCCAAAATGCTTGCAAACAATTATGCATCTTGTTTGTTCCATTCACTTTGTAGTTCTTCAACAATCAAGTGTCATTTTTCCCTGATATCAAACCAAGTCTGACATGTCCATAAAGCAAAAAGACTACCCGGTACTCTCTTAAACAAGCTAATGCTTACTTAAATCGTTCCTCTTTAAGAAGCATTTGTGCATGTGTGTGTGTGTGTTGTGTTTATATAAAAAAACAATCTAACAGTACTCTTTCTTTTTTTTGCTATTTCACATATTGTTGTTATATTTTCTGTAATAACTTATTTTCCAGGTAGGTGTAGTCTCTCTAAACTGAATATTCTGCTTTCTTCTCATCAAATGGGCTAAAAAATTTATTCCGCGTTAACTAGTCTTCTGTGACACTGGCACACCTGGAGACAGGGATCTTGCTCAGTTTACTGCTGCTGTAATTACACCAACCTGAGTTCTGTTCTGCATTTTCAGTCCGGCTGACAGTCAGTTGCATGCCTAGCCGCCTCTGCCAACATCCTAACTTATATCCTGGTGAACTGTAGAGTTGTAAGGATTTGTTCATGAAAAAAGATGTTTTATTTCGGCATTTTAAAATACTATCTTCAAAGAAGGGTTTGTCTCTCCGTCCTGTGCCCCAATTTCAAGGAAACCTGCAAGTACCAGAAGAAAACTTTCTCCTTTACTAATTTTTCAAAAAAGAAAACTGCTGATATCTTTCTTATGGAAAGACATTCACAACCTGAAATTTTTCTCCAAAATTTGATCTTGCAAGTGTTTGAAGAGTCCAGATAAAAATCATTTGCTCAGTTTAGGAGATAGGAAGGAGAGAGTCTACTAAGAAGACATTTTTAATTTAAGTTACTATATCAGTTTATAAAGCCATAGGATACAAATAAATCTTTCACACTCAGTGCTGGCTTTGAAACAAAGAAAATAGTGGACTTAAGGACTTCTGCCAGCAAAATCATTTTGCTCCATGCCAGAAGTGCTTAAAATTTGCAACCCTTCTTTTGATTTAGCCTAGTCCTAGTCCTAGTCATTTTTGTAAGTCATGCTGGTCATATTAGCCATTGTCTGTTACTCTGTTACAGATTCATTCCTTATTTGGGTGATGGAGGCTTGGGACAGGTTCTCCAAGGCATAAGCTTTGCTCAGGATACCTGTTGTGTTGAATTAAAATTACGTTTAAAAATGCACAAAAATTCCATTTCTCTCAAAACCGCTAGAATGCTTATTGCAGAATGCAGACTTACGTGACAGTCCCCTGAATGTACCTGCAGCTTTACAGGAAGTGTGACCAAAGAGAAGAAAGTTGCACTTAACTGTATGAACTGCAAACAGATTAGGTTAGTCTTCATAGTATCCTGCTCCCTTTCAGAAGGCATGAAATGTGACCACACAGCATGATACAACTAAGAGGGTAGTATAAAATTTCCAAGCCTGCAAAAAATTTGCTTGTCTGTTTGCCTGCATTAGGTGTACTCTATGTTGATAAAGTCTTATCCTGGTTACATTCAGTGTATTCAGGATTATTTCAGAATCAAAGTATTAGAGGCAGGTGTCTTCGAGCACTACGACAGGAATCTGAGAATCCCTTCCATAGTTGTGTTTGCAGTAAAAAGTGCTGGTCTTCACCCCTTCTGGTGCCATATAGAAGTGGTGGTGATTGCTGTTCAGTGGAATCTTCTTCTAGTTTGTATATTTATTTCCTTTGACTCAACTTACTTGTCAACACATTGCTATTACTACTTCAATTTAGTCAAGTCTGGATTAATACAAAGACGTGCCAATTGTTTGCACCAGAGTGTCTTTAGCATTGTTTGGTATTAACTCCAGGCTCTTAGGAGACACTGCTTAGGGAAGGAGCCATCTCCACTGGACTATCCTGACCATGTTATACAATTGCTGACACATATGTGTACTGATTTTACTTTCAGTTGAGTGTAATGTTTCTTTTTCCAATTTTTACAGACTAACAGCCTTCTTATATTATTTTAGTATCTTTATGAGGGGTTTTCTTGAGCATGGCGAAAAGAAAGTCCCAACTATCCTACATTTTCTTCAAGAAGCGTATAGAACCTTACCTCATCTCTCTAGTTGTCCTAAAGGCATTCACTAGTTGCAGCATTGTAGTGGAATAGATGGATACTTCCTGAAGGTTATGCCATTTGTATGCTCTTGCATTAGCTCTGCTGCCTACTGGCATGTGAGCCTGATCTACCATGGTTATATGAACCTTCTTCAAATCTTTCTGATTAGTATATTTCAATTCCCTTGCTAATGCTAGTAGTCATTACCTGACTAGGAAGAGCAAGGAGCAGGTGACCGTATTCGATTTTTCATAGTAACACATGTATTTATATTTCTTGAAAGTTTTTTCCAACTTCCTTTTCCCAGTTTTCGCAGACTGGTATATTCTAAGTTTCAAGGAGAAAGTACCATAACCAAATGTGCCCAGTAAGTGTTTAGAAGGCTTACAGTGTATAGGCAGGCGTTCCTTGTTTAATAAAACTCACTATTCACCCTGTGACAAGTTTCTTGGCTAGATAA